AGAATGCGGCTTAGTAACAAACACTACACAGTCAAATAAGACCTGGCTAAACGTGCAACTGATGTTATCGGGGGCAATTCAAAAACTGGTCTGAGGAAACATGTGACTCTGATGATCAATCAATACACAATGGTGTGATATATACAAACACTGCATACCACGTGAGTAAAGTACCGTAAAACGCCGTTTGCTCGGACACCTAAACTGAACGTCACCTAGACGCAACTTCTCGTTGTCACACGACAGAAAAGGACTGGATACACAATGAAGATCTCAAACTACAGACGGTTCACACCCAAATCTTCCCCCAACAGGGATCAAACTACTAGATAAAGTGTGTTTTCTGACTGCTCCTCGGTCCCATTTGCGTAGTTTCTTGCAAACGTTTACCGACTTTTCCGTGCGGAACCCTTTCAGTCCCCTCAATTAGTTCGTCCCTTGCAATGTTTGAACCGAGCATTGTGTGGCACTTCATTTCATAAATTTAAATTTCACCCTCGTTTTTCATAAATCGCTCATGGTTTACTCTGGACTTTCACATCCAATCTCCTAAACGAGAAACAACAGTTGGGCGACTGTACGTATCACTTTCATCTCCCTTACAGATACACTACAACCCCACTATAATACAAAAGTCCGAACTGAGGGCTAGAAGAGAATATAACTTGATATTTGCCCACTCACTTCAAACTCCAAGGTTAGCTAGCAGTTTCTGTCCAATTCTACCCCAATCACACATATTGTTCGGAGATTTCGAAAAGCTAAAAAGGCCCAAGCGATTTACACCCAAAACTTGCATTAATGTTTTGGGTAAGAATTCATAACCGCGTCAAATACTCACATGTTTTTCCATCATAAATTCTATGCATTAATGTTTGGGTAAGAATTCATAACCGCGTCAAATACTCACATGTTTTTCCATCATAAATTCTAGTTGACTTACGGTGGAAACCTTCGAAGACTAAAATATATCCAACAATTTCCGAGTGATTTATCCAAGTCGCACATCAAAAACTCGTTTTCACACCTTCGGCAATTCACACCAGCTTGCTTCCTTCGATTCTATCCTAAATGAAGCGAGGTTTCTGAGGAACAAACTTCATTGCGACGAGGAAAGGATATCATGGACTCTCAACACAGATGGGAAGTCGATCACAGGCTCATCTATTTACTCATATGTTTCTATATATGCGAGATAAAATTACAGACAGTCTGGAGAGCAAACGGCGCTCTGATTTGATGTGCGACTGCTCAACAGACACTGCGTTCGTCAACCCAAACTCCGAATGACCGAGCTTGATCGTTTCAATCTCCGTCACACTTGTTGTCTACCGACATATTTGAGGTTGTTTATAGGCAGACGCCGACAGGACGGATGGAACCTTACGCGACCCGTTGGACGGCCATTAGTGTTGGGCGATGACATGTGAGGCTACGCTGTCGCCAGTAATATCCCAGACACGGATCATGCACTTGATCCTCAGCTCAGACACGAGATTATTTGCCTCCAATAGGGCTGTGTTGGATCATTGATAGTGTTCAGGTCTCCCGAACAAAATCCATTCAGCCAAGCGGCTGGCTCGTACTGACCTCGAAAGCTGGTTTGATTGGCCCACGGTT